AAAAAAAAAACCCTATCTCAGCTGGCGATTCAAAAACACCCTATCTCAGTACATTTTCAATGTATTTCCAGCTGAGATAGGGCGTTTTTGAGCCGAATTCTGAGATAGGGTGTTTTTCAATAAAATTCTGAAATAGGGCGTTCTTCAGTCAAATTCTGAAGTGGGGCGTTCTTGAATAATTTCTGAGATAGGCCGTTTTCGAATTGGCTGCCGACATAGGTCGCTCTTCCCGTCAGGTGACGATATTAAGTAAAAATAAAAAAATTCATTAAAACTTATCACCTACCACAACCGTAAAATTCATTAAAAACTTACATTAACTTAAAATCTATTCCAAATCGCTATCATCTAAAACACCATCTAAAGCTAAACTTAAAATATCCCGAGTTGTCGCGGAGTTTGTTACTTCCTTGTCTTTTTTTCTGGCGGAAGATAGCAGGGAATGGATGGCATCAATGGTTTCCAGAGCAACGTCCTCACTTTTCATACCATCCAGTATGCTGACCACCTCCTCGCCAAACCACTCATATTTCCTTTTTGTGTTTGTCACCATTATATTTGTCAACTCTTTTAATCCCTGTTGTACCTTTTGTTGAAAATGAGCCTTATTTCGTTTTCTGCAAGATGATGAAACCTGAAACTAAAATAATTGTTATTATTTTTAGTTCCCGGAGTCTCCAAATGAATGGAAATCAATTGCGGATCAGTTTGAGCGGAAATGGCAGTTTCCTCTTTGTTTAGGAGCTTTAGATGGAAAGCATGTAAGCTTCTACGCTTCTCAATCAGATGGCTCTTACTATCACAATTACAAAGGAACTGATAGCATTGTACTGCTAGCACTGGTGGATGCAAATTGCAAATTTATTTATATAAACGTGGGCGCAAATGGTAGAACTCATGATGGAGCTATCCTAAGCCATTCGTCTTTACAGCGAGTGTTGAATAATGGGGATACATACTTTCCACCAGACAAAGTTATAGGGAACCAAAGATTATTGCCTTATGTCGTGGTTGCCGATAATGCTTTTGCACTACAAAGACACGTGATGAAACCTTACTCACACCTCACAAGTGTGCGTGAAAAAATTATTTTCAATAAAAGATTGTCCAGGGCACGTCAAACAAGTGAAAGAGCTTTCGGCATACTCTCTCAAAGATTCCTTATACTGAAGAAACCAATCAACTTACAAAACGTAAGAACTATTGAGACCATTATACAGGCGTTTTGTGTACTTCACAACTTTATTTTAAGTAATAGGATAAGTTCTTTGAGTGAACCATTTATGGATACAATGCATTCTAATGCAATATCATATGAAAGAAATCTCTCACCTGAAGCAATAAGAAATTCTTTTCTTGAATATTTTAATAATGAAGGAAAGCTGGAGTGGTTAGAACAACAATAAAAGTTATGCAAATTAAATATAATGCCTGAATTTTTAAATAAATATGGTTGAGCCTTTGTAATTTATTTTAATGAATTCAACGTTTTTCAGCATTTTGGCTACGAATCGTGAAAATATAACTTACCGACGGTTCGTCCCTCAACGAGGCGTTATCCGTGTTTATATTATTGTCCGTATCGTATCTTTATTGGAAAAATTACAAATTACTCTTAGAAAACTTTATGTCACAAAATCTTACCGTTTGTGGCCTGTTTTCATCATTTAAACTATCCTGCGTCACCCTTATTTCTACGTTTGGACGTAGAAACTGGAGCAGCTCGTAACACCACATTTTGGGTGTTTTCACATCTGCTGCGCCGCATCCACTCCGTTTACTGGCTTCAATTGCCCTCACTTCTCTCCGAAATTGTGAGCGCAGTCCTTGAATTTTTTCCCTAATGTTTTTTGGGGTCACAAGGGGATCTTTCGTCACCAAAACGTCGTGAATTCCATTTATTGCCGCATTTCGCTTATCCCTGTCACTATAATGGCAATGCTTTGTGTTCCAAAGACACTCTCGGGCCTGGAGAAGATTTATTAATTCTTCCGTTAACGCTCGGCTCCAGGAGATATACATTTCTATAATTATAAAAATTAATTGACCCACTTTAGATTTTCACAAATTTCTTTGCTTAGTCATTTTCTAACGACACACAAATAAGTAATAATGTTTTTGTAATACAAATACTCACTTTAATAACTTTTATATTCGCGCGGATATTAAATATCTTTATATCGAAAATTTTGCGTTAGCAGTACATATACTCAGCGCGTTTTCTTCTGGAATAAACATGTTTTGTGTATAACTGCAACATCTACCGTATCGTATGGCAATACTGTATTTTCCAGCAAATTTTTGTGTATGGCAACACTTATTTTTCATCTGTTTGGCCCAACAAATTTTGTTTGCTGTGAGAGTCACCAAACTCTCTCTCTCCGAGTTTGCTGCAACAACAATTTCACGCAGTTTGCCAAACAAAATTTCTGCATAACACCGACCTAACAACACAAATGTGGGCCTTGCTGACGCTTCGCTCCTTACTATCAGCAACGTATGTATGTATAAAAAATTCAAAGGCAACTACGATTGTCCGGCTGCGTATGAATGTCGCTACACTTGCACAGATATATAAACAAACACAGATGTGAGTACTGCTGGCACGCTGACAGCAGCGTATGCATGCCATGACTTGTAAAGAATAACGGTTGAGCGTCGTTGTACTCAACTTTAAGATTTTTGATTCTTCTTTTAAGAATTTTGAAACCAACAATAAGAATATCTGTTATGTTCTTGATTTGAGTACACATTAGTTTCGTTCTAAGCTTAACATATGGGTGTTTCCATGAAAATGTCAACCAGGACTGAAAAAATAAAAACAACTGAAAAGGGTTTTTCAGACGAATTAATAAGAGAAAAATACTCGAATTTTTATATTTTAGAAGTATTTCAGCTTATTGGAATTTTAAAACTCAAAAATGGAAGAGTAAAACTGAATGTCTCTTCGACTCAGTTTTCTCCAGGGACCGTAACGGTTATAAGTTTTATTATAAAAATCACTCTTTAATCGTTATTAACTGAGTTTTATTTTTTGCTCGGAAAATAATCGTTACGTTTTAAGTTTTATTTTTCGGTCGGAAAATAATGGTTACGTTTTAAGTTTTATTTTTTGCTCGGAAAATAATGGTTACGTTTTAAGTTTTATTTTTTGCTCGGAAAATAACGATTACGTTTTAAGTTTTATTTTTTGCAGGAAAATAATCGTTACGTTTTAAGCTTCATTTTGTGCTTTGCTTGACTCCACCAAAGTACGTACTCTACTTTCTCTCATCGCGTACGAAAAATGTTTGCTGCTGCCAAAAGGGAGTAGCAAATCTACTCTCTGTATACTTGCAGTACTGTAAGTACTTGCGTATTAAATTTCATTTCTGGTTGTTAGCGTACTAGTTGATATCGTTTGCGGCGCTGGTCAGCGAAATTGAAAGAGTAAAAATAGAATATGGAAATTGACGATGTAAGGAAAGGTTTACGGCCATATTTATAAAAAAATAACGTAGATTTAGACAGTCGTTTAATGTGACATTTTCATAAAACTTTTCTATTTAAGCAGCTTTTCGAATCTATGTATGTACAATAAATTTTTATAAAAGTACTATTTTCGTTTATAATTTCAATTCTGATTAAATTCTGATTTCAAGGGAAACGAATTTTCATTGGGCACGTTCAGAAGGCGCAACAGCTCAGTAACTGTTGCGATTGCACCTTCTCAACGCGTTGTTGGGTACTTCTGATCAACTAAGCAGTTGCGTGTAGATGATCGTAATATTTTTCTGATCATTTGAGACAACATCTTGTGTGTTGTAAATTTGACAGCTAATGTATGAAGCCATTCAGAAGACGCATTACGATCACTGATTTTTTTAGCAACGGTTGCGCCCAACTGCTGCGCCTTCTAAACCTACCCATTGTAGTTCCCAAGAAATATCACGAGATATATTTTTCAGTATGCAAAACTGCTTTTTCATTTACGATACCTTGCGCATGTGTTTAGAATGATACGTAAGTTGGCAAATCGTCAAATTTCTAGCCTTCTTAGAAACAGAGGATACTGGCTTTACAAAGTGTCGAATCCCACACTTTTGTCTAATGACAATATTTTTTACAATAGTTTCTTTGCACCCCTGAAAAGTGCCGATTTTCACATTCGATAGTTTGACATGGTAGCGACGAGATGTACGAGCATTTTTTCTTAAGAGCTGCATACTGATTTAAGAATTTTTTTATAAAAGCAAATTTATTTTCCATTTATTGCGCGTAATTTTATATGAATCTTTAATTTTTTTGAGAGCCTTTACAAATAAAAAAATGTCGGCATATGTACATATGTACATACATACGCAGCCATATAACGAATTTTCATTGAAAACTTTTTTTCATTTAGTTTTTTAATAAATACTAAAATTAGAGGCGTATGTATGTTTAAAAAACTCAGTCGCGATACATTATATACATACATAAGTATGTACATACCTAATAAACATTCGGCTTGGTTAACAATTCGAAAATGATTTTTTTTCGAGTCTCACCTTCGATAACGAATGTGAAATAAATTAGTATTCGATTCGAGAACTTTCGTTATGAATTCGAAATCCCGTCCATTATGGAATTGGAAATTTAATGAGAGAGAGTGATTTTCTTATATTTCATTTTCTCTCTTGTTACTATGGTTTCCATTTTTTTTGGAACCCATCTCGAGTGTATTTCCAATATACTATAAACGTTGGAAAACTAAGGTTGGCTATGAGTTGGTTCTCAGTTCGATATTCATATTGTATATCGAAGGTCATTTTCGAACATTCGCCAAAATGTTTATTGGGTACATATATATCTGGACTCACAAATCGGATTTTACGATTATAGTTGTCTGCATAACCCATTGGCGAAATAAAAACTTTATCCGTTTTTGTTAAATCGAAACTATATTTTTACATACATATGTATGTACATACATGCATACATAAATATATTTAATAGTGGTATTCATCTAAACCGATAACTTTATCAAGCAGATAATCTTATAAGTTTATGCACTCTGTTACATGAACGACCCACACTATCTTTTCGTTTACACATTCGACAATAGTCGTGTTTTCTTTGGTTATAAAGCGCAGTGTCACTAACTTTATACTTCTAGCACGGGGATAAAGAAATTATAGAAACTACCTCACTAAATTGGAAAAAATTATATTTACGAGATATCTATTTAAATAAATGTACATATAACATAAAGGCTATTTATTTGAAGCAAGTTATAAGAAACAATGGCAGAATGTCTGTTTGTGTATGAATTCATTTGTCACGGCTACCAAACTTTGCGAATTATCAGTGAAACAAAACAAACAGACGGGATAATAATTGAACCAGATCTCTATCAGGATCATATCGTTGTTGAATTTGCGTGCAAAATTTGAACGTGAAAAAAATATATGCGGAAACTTACATATGTATCTATGCAAATACATATCTATGCACATACATGCATATGTACTTATGTATGTATGTACATATATCAGCATTTAAGTTGAAAGTACGTTTTGCTCGTCGCTCTCTTCATCTCTCCACTACTTTCCTGTCCTTAGTTTTATTCAGATACCAAAAATTTATGTTTTCTTCGAAAATACTCAAGTACTACCAGTAGAGTACTCTACTGTCAAATACCTTTTACTCGCAGTTGTTGCGGAAGGCAAAAAAATACTCTACGCGTCTTGCTATTGATCGGTAGTTTACGTACGCTTGCGGAAACTGGTTTATGCTTAAAGCGCAGTTACCCACGGACGTAAAACCGGAGGACGTGTCAGCTGACACGATCTATCTTATGGGATCTGCGTGTTAATAAAAACTCACCAACGCATGACCGTGACGTAGACGGTGTTTCTCTCTCTTTTTATCAACAGCAAACTTGATATGTTCCTACGTACTTCTACGCTACGCTACGTACACGTTCGTGGGTAACCGCGCTCTTACTCACACTTGACCCGAACGATGAGAGTAAAGGAGGGAAAGTATTTGCGCGGCGATCGGATGTCTTGTTAGGCCGTTTAAATGGAATTGCGCAGGAGTTTAGTAACTACTGAAGATAATTCACTCAAAATTGATATCTACAATGAGTTTTAGACGAAAAATAAGAATATTAAAAAATTTTGGCAAATGGGCGTAGCCACGCCCACTTATGGTTACATGTGTATATCTTGGTAACCGCTACACCAATTTGGCACACTTCGCACACCGTCTTCAAAAGAGGCACAACTCAAAAATTCTAAATTTCGAGTTAAAATGTAAAACTTGCTCCTTGCTAAGCTATCTACCAATACGAAAAAGTCTACCTGATATTTGTTATTGTAAAGTGTCGAAAAAAACAGTTAGGTCTCTTTCGTTGCTTCGAATGACACTGAACTGCAGCTGGCAAACATGTCATATTTTTAGTTGTGTTGTGGTACTCGAAGTGCGTTGATCGCAGCCGATGATAAAAAAGAGACCTTTTTCGTGTTGTGACTCTTTCGGTGACATATTTAATAATTTCAACGTATTTAATATCGTGTTGTGCCCCGTTTTTATGACTCGGGTAAGTGAAATCTGTTTGTATTTTTTGTACATGTGACCCTTTAGTTGTAAGAACATTAAAATATTCAGGTTGTGTCTGTTTTGATGAAAAAAGAGAAACTATGTTTATTTTATGTTTTTAACTTGTATTAGGATTACATTACATTGAATTGTTTGCGTATCGATAAAATCAATTGAACTATCGATATTAATATCTAACAAAATAATTGTTTGTAGCTGTAAACAGAAATTTTTGTGTTAGTTCTCTTTAGATGATAGTTTTTTGATAAATGTAAATTTCGTTGTCACTCTCAGGAAAGCAATGGAAAACAACAACTATTCGGCTGAAATGACCTCTGAAGGTACAATGCGCTTTAGAAAGATCAAACCAATCAGTTATTGTCCCTCCCCATGTGACGAGGCGCTTATCGAACCGTTTGGAGAGAGCTCTGGAGACGATTACAACGCATCTGACGGTTCTACTTCTACCTGCTCTAGTTCAGCAGTGCAATTTGAAAATTATCAAAATGAAAACAAAATAAAGAGAGGGCAAAATCATGCGAAGAAAGCGAAATTGCTGAGAAATTCAGGCAAATCGTATGTATAGCAGTCAAAATCAAAAAAGCATTGTGAAGAGAGGAAAGTGCGTTCACCTTGCGGTGCAAAGTGTCGTATACAGTGTTCACATAAAATCAACGAAGACGTTTGTCAAAAAATATTTGAAAATTTTTGGAGCATTGGTAACTTGCAGAGGCAGCGAGAATTTATTGCTGCTAGTACGTCTCCAATAATACCGAAATATCGATATTCAGCTACTCAAGGGTTATGTAAACACAACCATGCCGCTCATTTTTCAGTAGATGGTACAAGTTACCGTGTGTAAGACTTTTTTTAAATCCACTCTTGATGTTAGTGATAGAGTTATTTGAACAGTTCTATCGAAAAAAAACTCGGAGGGCTTTATTGAGCACGATTTGCGGGGAAAACACAACAAACATCCCACTGTAAGTCCCGAATTAAAAGAGAGCGTCAGAGATTTCATAAAGGCGATACCCAGAGTAGAGTCTCACTATTTGCGCAAACAAACATCACGCGAGTTTATTGAAGGTGGTAGAAGCCAAGCTGACTTCTACCGTGACTATAAAGAACTTCGTGAAAGGGAAAATTTACCCTTTGCAAATTCGATCATGTTTCACCGAATATTCAAAAATGAGTT